TGAGAAGTTAGTGAATGGAAAAATGTTTAATGGCATGATAGATTGAATGTTTTAATATAAACCCTAGGTTAAACCGAAAGTAAACCGAAAGTAAACCGAAACCCTAAATCCTAGGTTAAACCGGTTTAATAAACCCTAAGTCACGGTTTAAGATCAAGCTTCCCATAAATGGAAAGTTTCCAGAAATAGAAAGTTTCCAGAAATAGAAAGTTCCATATAAGGAAAGTTTACAGAAATAGAAAGTTTCGTAAAATAGCAAGTTTCCCAAAATAAAAGGTTCCCTAAAATAGCAAGTTTCCCAAAATGGAAAGTTACCAAAATAGGAAACCCCTTCATAAGGAAATATTCCAAAACTCTAAAGTACATAATTGTTTAGGATTTCTTTCTAGATGAGAAATAGAAATTTTCCATAAAAGGAAAGTTCCATATAAGAAAAGTTTCCATAAATAGAAAGTTCCATACATAAAACTGAAATCCTAGCAAAAACCCTAGTACTATAAATCGCGGATGCTAAAACCCTAAAACTTAACCGCGAAATCCTAATATCCTAATCTAGTATGATCCGATTGTTTGGTTGTTTTTCGTTGCATACTAGATCAATCTTCTAGGGTTGATTTCATCCATATATATATATAACATGATTGTTTAGAAAACACTTGCTGAAGACAAGCATGGCTCGGTCTTAAATACCGCATGACTTGATCTAACCGATTACATGAGTTCTCATTTAACTCTATATATTGTAGATGTCAGAGATCAACTATTATGAATACACGGCACTCAATGCCTCTAGTGACAATTATTTACAATGGGCTTTGGACACTGAGATTGTCCTAAAGGAAAAAGGGCTTGGTGAATCTATTGTGGAAGGAAACAATGTCATCAGAAGAGAAAGATATAAGGCGATTACTAACATATGCCATCACCTCAATGAGAGTCTCAAAATCAGTACCTCACTATTAAGAATCCTCTGGACCTCAGGACAGAGTTGAGAAAAAAAAATCAATATAACCACCAAAGAACGGTGCTATTACCCAAAAGCCCGATTCGATCGGAAGAATCTTAGATTCCAGGAATTCAAATCCATAAATGAGTATAACTCAGCACTATTTAAAATAGTGTCAATACTGAGATTCCGTGGTGAGGAAGTTATTGAGAATGACTTGCTAGAGAAAGCATTCTCGACCTTTCACACAAACAATATATTGCCTCAGCAACAATATCGTGAAAAAGGTTTTTACCACATATGCGAGTCTAAACTCTTGTTTTGCTACTCGCTGAGCAAAACAATGAGTTATAAATAGTGAAATGAGACCTCCTGGTCCTACCCCATTATCAGAAGCCCATTGGGCTGAAGAGCCTAAAGAGACTAAAGAGTTTAACCACGTCCAAAGAGATAAGTATCATGGCCATAGTCATGGTAAATGGAATGGACGTGGTAGAAGTGGCAATTATAATTTATATGATCAAGGAAACTATTCTTATGGTTAAGGCCGCCGACCCGACTTTGGTCGTAATCGAGGTAGAGGCCGCGGTATACCCAAACCATAACACTCAAATAAACTTGTTTGCCACTGAAGAGGAATGGGAAAACCATTGGACTAAGACGTGCAGGACACCTAAGCATCTCGTTGATCTCTATCAAGAGAGTTTGAAAAGAATCTAGAAGCTCATTTAGTTCATCACGATGGTGAAGAAGATTTCGACCATGAGATAGATGACTATGAGAATTTAATAAACGAAATATCTAAAGACATGGTTCATTAGCCAAATTGCGGGTATAGCTAAATTTAGTGAAGGCTAAGGGCAGGCCCATGGCAGGCCCATATTCCCAAGGGCACACATCCTCAGATGCTTCATATTCACCCAGCCCAAAGGGGCTTGTTGAGTTTCAAAGAAATGTCTTATATTACTAAGGTTTCCCATATATTACTAAGAGCACCCAAGACCATGAGAAGGTCTTAGAGACTATACCCGCGTCATAGACTTTTACTATGCCAAGGTCAATATGATAAAGGCTAATACAGTAAACAAAAGGGTTTACTAAGAAATTCACTAATGGCATGACCGGCCTGGCCAGCCTGGTTCTAACATGATGCGTAAAGCTGATATTAAAATCAAAAGGGCACACCTCTTAAGGACCTCACGTGTGGAGCATGTACACAAGGGAAACTCATACTAAGGCCATCACCAGTCAAAGCAACTAGAAACTTGGTGTTTCCTAAATTGCTGGCCCAGACCATAAGTCTGTGAGCCCACATACTTAAGACTATATGTCTAGATAATACTGGTAAATTATGTCCCAAGCGTTTTATGGCTACAGTATGTCCATGAGAGGGAGAGTAGTATACCCCGTGGCACATGTCCATACTTGAACTCACAGTAGCTGCTTGGGGACACGCAATATTACATGCAACAAGAGCATATACGCATCAGGCCATTCTAGTGAGCATAGATATTCACCATCCCAACTACTCACAGGTCAGGAGCCAGATATGTCCCATCTAAAGACATTTGGGTGTGTCACCTATTTACCCATAGCACCACCACAGAGAGAAAATAATGGGACCTCAAAAGGGGATGGGAATATACGTTAAAAATGATTCTCCCACCATCATTAAGTATCTCGAGCCAAAGGCCAGATACAAGGATTGTCATCTCAATGAATCCGTTTTCCCAACACTGGGTGGAGAGACTAACAAGCTGGTCAAAGAACTTACATGGAATCAAACATCCTTCACATGGCAAGATCCTCGGACTCCATCAGAGATCCAAAAGACTATATATCTGCAAAAGCTAGCTAAAACAGTTGCCAAGATTCCTATAATGACCCAAAGAGAGTAACAAAATCGTACATACCAGCTTGTAAGGCACCAGTACATATTGATGTTCACAAGGAACACAATCAAGTTGCTACAGAGGCTACAACACGTAAGAAACGTGGTAGACCCAAAAGGTTCCAAAGACAAGAACCCTCGGAAATCAAAGAAAGGTGCAAGGGAAACCGAGAAGGTTCAAGAAACCATAGACATGGCCGGCTAATAGACATAACCCTAAGGTACCAATCAATGAGGTTTGGGACGCCAAACCTCAAGGTCCTGAAGGTGTAAAGAGATCTCTATAAACTATATCATGTCTAGAATACAATGGAACCGAAAAGATGTCGACATCAATGATAATATATTTGCGCATAAGGTAGCAACTGAAATGAATGAGGATCAGGAGCCCACGTCTATACTAGAGTGCACTCAAAGACCTGATTGATTAAAATGGTACAAGACCATAAAACGTGGAGCTAATAATCATTAAGAAAAAGAATGTGTTTGGTCCAATACGAAGGACACCATTCAATGTAAAGCCAGTGGGACAAATGAGTCTTTGTGATTATGTGAAATAAACATAGTGAAAGCGTGATATATCAGACACGGCTTGTCGCACAAGGATTCACACAAAGACCAGAAATAGAGGAGATATACTCCCCTGTGGTGGATGCTAAGACATTTAAATCTTTGCTAAGTCTGGCTATATAAAAGAGAAAGATTTGCGGCTAATGGATGTAATGCCTGCATATTTATATAAGTCCACTAGATAATATATGAGATTACCAGAGGGTATTGAGCTCAAAGATAAGAAAGATTCTCGAGAACAGCACTGCATAAGGCTGGACAAATCCTTATATGGACTGAAACAAAGCGGACGTATGTGGTATAACCGGTTAAGCGAATATCTCATCAGAGAAGTTTATAAATGATCCCATCAGTCCATGTATTTTTATCAAGAAGTTTGCAAACAAAGGATTTGTAATCATAGCAGTGTATATGAATGATTTAAACCTATGGGTAATCGACCAAACAGTTGAAAGACCTAGGCAATAATTAAGTTCTGTTTGGGATTACAACCTGAGTACGTGAATAATGGAATCCTTGTGCATCAAATGGCATACACTGAAAGAGTACTCAAGGAGATTTAATAAGGACCAGGCCCGCCCATTGACCAGGCCCAATGGTGGTGAGAAGCCTCAGATTGGATAGTGATCCATTCAGTCCGGAAATGCCATACCTCAGTGCCATAGGAGTTCTAATGAATTTGGCTAGACACACTAGACCAAACATTTGTTTTGCCGTGAGTCTCCTGTCTAAATTTAGTTCATGATCAACCCAAAGGCACTAGAAAGGTTTAAAGGAAGGTTTGATTAAGTTTTAAAGTCTATTATTCCTGCGTTGTTTACTTGGGTTTATTCTATATTGATCTAACCAAAGAAGGTCCAGTTTGCTTTGGTTTAGTTTGATTTACTAATGCAGGATATTTATAAGATCAGATTATGGTATGGTCAATGAATAGGAACTATGTGTGGCTTGATCCCTTCCAAGGGTACGTAAGCAGCCTTCCTTAAGGCGCATCTACTACTACATCAAAGACCATTATATTTGAGGACAACGCAGCCTGTATTGCTCAACTAAAGGATGGCTATATCAAAGGGGATCGAACGAAGCATATTCTGCCCAAGTTCTTCTTCACTCATGAATTACAGAAGGACGGTCAGGTCAAAGTTCAACAGATCCGGTCAAGTGAGAATTCAGCCGACCTATTCACCAAATCATTGCCGACTTCAACGTTCCGGAAGCTCATTCATCAGATCGGGATGCGCGGACTTAAGGATCTACAGTGATGCTCAAATCAGGGGGAGTAATGCGTGTTGTACTCTTTTTCCTTCACCATGGTTTTGTCCCACTGGGTTTTCCTGGTAAGGTTTTAATGAGGCAACATTCCCCAGCGCATTATAGAGATCCCGGTTTAGTATCGGGCACGGTTATGTCTTCCAAGAGGGAGTGTTATAAACCATATGGATGGACTCCATAACCGGCCCATGGCCCATTAGGGTTTTACCTTATTTTCTGTATCCTGCTATTATCCTTGTATATATATCACCTATTCTATTAATGAAAGACACTGTTCACAACAAATTTAACTATTTTCGTATTCCATAACTTTTCCACAGAATGTCGGTTTATAGTATACACGAAGAATGTCTATGTTTCTTTGTATTTTAAATCAAACTTTCAAAAAAATATAACTATTCTTTTGATTCCATGTGTTTTCGAAAAGAAACAATTAAACAGAATATATACATGCATGCATTTTCCTTCTTCTCTTTTTTTTCCTTTTTGTCATTTTGGAACTTTATATAGCGTTCATATTATTTTTACATTCTTTTCTTCTATTAGAGCTTTTTTACTAATCTTTATTGATATCCATTTCTTATATTGTTCAGATTCACACGTACGCATTTTTTGCAATAAGTAAATCAAAAAAGCTTTTTTCACGCGTCTCTACAGTTTAGCAGGTTACACTGATATAAGTACATGATTTTTATTTGTCTCGAAAATTATCATAGCAAGAAATATAATTTTTAAAAGAATATGCAAAAGAATATGCAAAACTTCAGCTTGACGTTAAATTTTGTTATTTGTCTTTATGTTCACACAGACGAAATTGCTTCTATAAAACCTTCAAATTTGCTCACCCCCAAAACCCTAATTATATATTCCCTCTTTCATTTTTCTTCTTCGTCTTTTTTGTTTCTCATGTTCAACGCATCCTCAAGTCAAGATCTTAGATATTTGCAAAGCTGGCGAATTCAAGAAATTATGGAAAGAGGCCCTTTCGAGCGGACGAATCGGATGAAAAGAAAGAAGGCGATGATGATGAGAACATATTCCCTTTCTTCTCGGCCCGATCCCAATATGACACGCGTGCCATGGTCTCAGCCTTGACTCAAGTCATTGGTAACCAAAGCAGCTCCCATGATAATACTCAACATCAACCTGTTGTGTATAATCAACAAAATCCTAACCAACCGGCTCCTCCGACTCAAGATCAAGGTATATTTACATCTATATATATGTAGTTGACATATTATCATATGTATGTGATGATATGTGCATGGAAAATGAGCATAAATTTAAAAAATTGAGAAATCTATCTCTTCTTATAACGCAATTTTTTTTGTAGTATATATATATATATATATATATATATATATGAGAAATCTATCAAGAATATATATATATATATATATATCTTTATATATGAATGTTTTTACTTGTTGATTAGGGCTCGTGAGGAAGAGGCACTATAGAGGGGTAAGACAACGACCATGGGGAAAGTGGGCAGCTGAAATTCGTGATCCGCAAAAGGCAGCACGGGTGTGGCTCGGGACATTTGAGACTGCTGAAGCTGCGGCTTTAGCTTATGATGAAGCAGCTCTTAAGTTCAAAGGAAGCAAAGCCAAACTCAATTTCCCTGAGAGAGCTCAACTAGCAAGTAACACTAATTCTATTACCGGTCCACCAAACTATTACTCTTCTAATAATCAAATTTACTACTCAAATCCGCAGACTAATCCGCAAACCATACCATATTATAACCAATACTACTACAACCAATATCTTCTTCAAGGAGGAAATAGTAACGATGCAGTCAGCTATAGCTTGGCCGGTGGGGAAACTGGAGGCTCAATGTATAATCATCAGACGTTATCTACTACAAATTCTTCATCTACTGTTGGATCTTCAAGGCAACAAGATGAACAAGATTACGCCAAATATATGCGTTTTGGGGATTCTTCATCTCCTAATTCTGGTTTTTGAGATACTCAATAAACTGGTAATAAGGGATTTGGGCACTTGTTATGAGGGGATCATATGTTTCTTGAGTTTTTTTTTTTGTATTTTCATTATGCGTGTGTTGTTTGTGATCACTTTGTTTATTTCTTCTTTCAAGAGTTTTCATGGGTTCTTTGTTTACAACCCTTGCATTTGGATTTATTTAAGTTTTTTTTTTTTTTTTTTTTTGGTGGGGTATGTCGTTTTGTATTAAAGAAGAAATCATCTATACACAAGAGTGTTACCCTTTAAATTTATTGGAGTTTCCTCAAGCAAACCCACATGTACACACATAAAATTATAGCATTAACTGCTAAAATTCCGGGTTGCATTGTTTATGTGACCATTATATTGCCAACGCAGATATAACAAATCAAAGCTTTTTATATATTTGCCTTCATTGAATGAAAATACATGTTACCGTGTATCTTACAAGACATAAGGCAAAGTAGCATACCTACATGACGGTACTAGCTAGTATAAGATTGAACATTTTGTTGAGAGTCGTTTAGATTTAATATTTTTCGTCCCATTTTCTTGGACTAATTAAGATGACAGCCATGATTTTTATGACCAGAATTTAGCCTTTCCCCCGCATGCATTATATTTGTTTATTGAGTTTGAAGAAAAAAACATCAAATACATGTATACGTTTGATGCAATTTTCGCATAAAGTTTTTTTTTTTAATTTTAAATTTTAATATAATATATATAAGTAATGTGAATTAACAAATTCATTTATATCAGTTTGGTTTTTGAGTAATCATAGATCAAGTTTACACAATTACAATTTCCTTTCCACTTTTATTGGACTGTTTTGTGGGATCTTCAGTCAGTTTGAATTCACAAAATTACTACGTACGTGTAATAGTTTATGGCCTGGTTATTCGAAAACTTTATTCAACATTACTACGTAGACTTTAGTTAGAATTAATGTCGTATTAGTTTTACGGCTGTTGACAAAAAAGGGTGTATCTTGATAATATTAACAAGAATTATTGAAGTAATATTCGTTATACTCAGGGTTTCAAAAGTAGTTTGTTTAATATTAAATCCTGTATAACGAGACTTTTACAAGCAATTTTCTAGTTCTTAAAGATAGAGATACTGGCCTTAGAAGTAACAACTAACAAGTATGAAAACTTGACCAGAACAGATTCCCCGAGCGTTTGTTTCAAATCCTTGACTTTTGTCAATCCAAAGAGATTGACTCCTTTTGACCCATGTTTTTTTATTTAATTTTTCAGTTTATAATATTTATTAAACCATTCCTAACATATATATGTCATTTTCAATATATAATGATATAGGAAATGACGTTAAAAATATATATATAGAAATGTGTCACAGATTCTTAAATGTACATACATATGATTAATACTTAAATTTAGAAGAGAATTAGAATTCAAGTAGTGTTTAATGTTAATGTTTTTTTTTTTTTTTGAAAAAGGCTTGTTAATGTTAATGTTGTCATTGTGTCACAATTCTATTTCAATCCTATAAATTGTATGATGGTGAAAAACCTAAATTTAGAGAGCATCAACAACTAGAGTTAGATTCAATGTACTTATATGGGATTCAGAAATGAAAAAATCATTTCATTTTGAAATTGAAAGACTCATTTTTCTTATCATCATATCAAGTGAAATGATGGTTACGATGATAATGAATATCGTTATTATTAAATACTTTCCGACCAACGCGTTATCTCCTCTTTGTTTGTCTTCTCTTATACAGTTATACTTAATAGTTTTTTCGTCTTTTATGCTCGTTTCTTCATTTTTTACATGCGTGTTAGATCATTAGCGTAAATGGTTAGTGCTTAAAACTTATTGGTATGCGAATCTCGGCCGCCGACAAATATTTGTACTTCAACTTCAAGACATTCGTGGAACTTCAAAAGCAATCTTTCGTTTTTTCAACAAACAAAAAAACCTTTGCATTCGTTTCGTGAATGAGGCGCGTGTATGACACCTCTATGACTATAGTCTATAGCGAAGCTACACAGGTCTATTAACCTTGTTTTTCTTAATAAAATTTCCCGATATATTAATATATATTAACAAATCGTTAAATTTAAAAATTTTAATCAACAGTGAAAGATGAATATTAGCCTGAATATGTTAACGGATCAACTAATTAATTAGCTAGGCATATGAACTGTGGGATCGCCTCTGGGCGGTTTAGATAAAGTAGTATTTGTCGGGAAAACAGTGACCGATTGCTACACAATTTTCAAATGTAAAGACGAAAAAGTTCCACTATGTTACAAACACGAGTCACAAATATTTAGAAAAGAGTTATTTTATACAAATTAAGACAGCCAGATTATCATTATGTTTTTTAACGAATTGTTATAGAAAAAATTAAACAACTTTTGTAGAAGTTCATGTTCTTTTAACATGGTACGTTACATTATTCCAAATATTCAAAAGTCTTTAATTTGATATTTCATATTTATATTTACGATTACGAATATCGACCGTTGATAAGAAAACAGTTTAAATAACAAAACACAAATACAGCTACTATATAAAATTTATCCCGACAAAAAGAATATATGGTTAAAGAGAATCAACAAATTACATCGTTGACAAATGAAGGGAATTTGGGGATGGCCACACCCGCACGCATGCCGGCCTCACCGCCCTGTCAACCTTTGCGGCCTTCTAAGCAAACTCTCGCAAATCTCAACCACTGCCTTTTCTCCTATTTCAAACTTATCGGCCCAAAGACGTATATGAATACGTGCATGCATACCATATGTATACACTACTATTAAATAATTTAAAAGACGTATGTATGTACGTACACGTCCAGAGGGATGTTCAAATTGCACCGATTCATGCACTCCTCATTTTGTAAATAACGCAGCCCACTTCTCGTTCACAAATAGTCTGGCCCATTTTACAATCATCCAAAGCGAGGTTTACTCAAGTTGATTTGCTAAATACCAAAGATTCAAAAATGTTTAAGCCACGTTTTACATTATATTTGTTAATCTTTTTAGTTCTTCAAGGCGACGATTGTTGAAATTCGTCGGTGAAAGCATAAGCATATAAGCATGCATGTACTTTGTGTTAAAATATTTTTTGATGGAGGAGACGTTTCTGTTCCAAAAATGTCTGAGTTGATAAAAGTGAAAAGAAACATGGATAGAATCAGAATCTTTTGTTTTGTAAAATGTAAAGAGGATCTTATAATATGTAGAATCAGAATCTATTGCTTTCGTACGGAAAAAACGGCATCTTCTTCTGCTATGTAAGTCAGATTCTTTTGAGATTTCACATTTGAAACACAGCATAGAGCGACAAGAAACTACAAAATTGTAAAGGAATGGCAAAAAAAAAAAAAAAAAGTCCGACCTGCCGGATTCGAACCAGCGACCTAAAGATTTGCTGTCACAGACTACAGTCTTCCGCTCTACCAACTGAGCTAAGGTCGGTTGTTGAAAATGTGTACAAATTATTATTAATTAACTAAGTAATAAGGTAGTCATGTCCTCATATTTTCAAACCGGAGACAGAACCGGCAAGAAGATATCACTACCAAATTATATATCAATCACCTAACTAAACAATGGCTAACAAATTATTTAAATTAAAGTTTTTTGTATCTCTCTATGGAAGTTTTTAATACGGTCAAACGCACTTCTTATCAAGCACATTTGACCATTTCGGTTTGGTTCAAACCGGAAACGCACGGTTTTCAATTAGACAGATTCGCACGTGTCGTGTGGGAATAGCACGTGGAGAATAGCAAAAGGTCAGGCGAGGGAAGATAGAGAGATATGTTACCGTCACTTGCGGTTGACAGATGACGGAGCCGGATTTTGCTTCACCGGCCATCATCCATCGTTTATAGCCACTGAGCCTCACACACACATTAACCCTTTTCGTTTCTGACTCCAAAGTGAAGTAAATTTCCAAACTTTGAACTTTTGGAGATTGTGTTTCGTCTTCGACGTGAAGACTCTTTCGTTGCTCTTGTGTTGTGAGCAGGTCTTCTTTCTCAAAACCCAGGACTCACTCTCTGTATAAGAAGATGAATGATCCTTAGAATCATTCAAATCTATTGTAAAGCATTCTAATTGGGGCAATATCGATTGATCGCGAATCAGCAATGGAATCATCGAAGCCCAAAAACCGTAATCCGATGAAGAAACCTGTATCCGTCACGATGGAGCATGTTCTATTGGCGTTACGTGAGACTAGGGATGAGAGAGAGATCAGGATTCGTAGTTTGTTTGATTTCTTCGATAATTCGAATTTAGGGTTCTTAGATTATGCCCAGATCGAAAAGGGTCTTGCTTCGCTTCAGATTCCTCCTGAGTACAAGTACGCTAGAGATTTGTTTAGAGTCTGCGACGCCAATCGCGATGGGCGTGTGGATTACCAGGAGTTTCGTCGATACATTGATGCTAAGGAGCTTGAGCTGTATAGGATTTTCCAAGCCATTGATGTTGAGCACAATGGCTGCATTTTGCCTGAGGAGCTCTGGGAGGCTCTTGTTAAGGCCGGTATGTGATTCTGTTACTGTTCCATTTCTACTGTTACTTTTTTCTTTTGATTATAATGTAAATTTTGTACCTTTATGAGATTTGTGGATTTTGATTGTTTGTGGTGAATTTGCTATAATAGAATTGTGTTGATGCTACAACGTGTTCTTGGTTAATCGGTCTTGTAGTCAGCTCTTGCAGTAACTTTTTATGTTGTCTTATTTGATTGTTGAGTATCACCAACCTATATAAGCCGCACAGTTATGTTCTTGTAGGCATTGAGATCGATGATGAGGAACTCGCTCGTTTTGTGGAGCATGTTGATAAGGACAATAATGGGACTATAACGTTTGAAGAATGGAGAGATTTCCTTTTGTTATACCCTCATGAAGCCACTATTGAAAACATTTATCATCACTGGGAAAGGGTGTGCTTGATAGACATTGGGGAGCAAGCTGTTATACCGGATGGTATAAGCAAACATGTGAAAAGAAGCAGATTACTTCTCGCTGGAGGACTAGCCGGAGCTGTTTCTAGAACTGCAACCGCACCTCTTGATCGTCTGAAGGTTGTTTTGCAAGTTCAAAGGGCACACGCAGGGGTCCTCCCGACTATTAAGAAGATATGGAGAGAAGATAAGTTGATGGGTTTCTTTAGAGGTAATGGGTTAAATGTCATGAAGGTTGCTCCTGAAAGCGCCATTAAATTTTGTGCTTACGAAATGCTAAAACCCATGATTGGAGGGGAGGATGGTGATATTGGTACAAGTGGGAGGCTTTTGGCAGGTGGAATGGCTGGTGCATTGGCTCAAACCGCTATTTACCCTATGGATCTCGTGAAGACTCGGTTACAGACTTGTGTAAGTGAAGGTGGAAAGGCACCGAAGTTGTGGAAGCTCACAAAAGATATATGGGTACGAGAGGGACCTCGGGCGTTCTACAAGGGTCTCTTTCCTTCTCTTCTTGGGATTATTCCTTATGCAGGAATTGACCTCGCTGCATATGAAACGCTAAAAGACTTGTCCAGAACATATATTCTTCAGGACACTGGTTAGAGCACTAAAGCCGTAGATCCTTATTCTTAGTTGCATATGATTGTTCTATGATTTATACTAAAACAGCTCAAACTTCTTCAGAGCCGGGTCCTCTGATACAGCTCAGCTGTGGAATGACATCAGGAGCTCTTGGAGCATCATGTGTTTACCCGTTACAGGTAGTAAGAACAAGGTAAAAACCCGAAAATCCGAAAACTTGTTACAGATTTTTTTTATATCTTGCCTGTGATTGTAAAAAAAGTTTGATCCTTGTCGTGTCAGAATGCAAGCGGATAGTTCAGATACGACAATGAAGCAAGAGTTTATGAAAACGATGAAAGGCGAAGGTCTGAGAGGTTTCTACAGAGGACTCTTACCCAATCTTCTCAAAGTAGTTCCAGCGGCAAGCATCACGTACATTGTTTATGAAGCTATGAAGAAAAATATGGCTCTTGATTAGCCAATACGGTCTTGAAATTTTCTCCGGGTTAGTTTATTCTTTTTTGTTCCCAAGGGGTCACTCTAGGAGATTATGTGAGAAAAACAAAAACAAGACGAGATTGTAACATGTCTTCGGGTCGTTTGATGTGTTCAAGACTCAAGTCTGTAAAACTCACATCTCCAAAAAAGATTTTGAATGGTTAATGAACTCACAGTTCCCTCATTAATCTTATTATTTATTACCAAGGGAAATTGATAAATCAATATCTCCTTCGGACAGATTAAGTAATTAAATAAATAAATAAACTACTAGTAATTAGTTAACTTTATAAAAATAGAAAATATTAGATAGTTGGTTCATTCGAAGAGATGTGAAATGGTTCGGGTGGTAATAATGATCCAAGATTTAAGGATTCCTGGAGCTGCTAAGTCTTAATCTTTGCGCTCTACTCAGAAAATTGCTGCAACAAAACATGGAGGCAAGACACATGAACTCGAGATTACAAAAGAAAATATATAAAAGTAAAAAAAAATAGATGATATTGAGATGGATCATACTTCCAAGAGATGTCTCCGGCCACCATCCAATGTCCATCTCTATCTAAAAACTTCAACGTATGATGATTCCCAAAAACAGAGCTATTTCCCTCGCCGTCTACTAGATCGAATCAAAGAAAGTCTATTAGTACTAAAAACAATATTTTTGTGTTTTATTGGTTAACAGATTTTAATTGATTTGGGAATTTAAGTTTGTAGAGCAGATCACAGCAGCCAAATAGAAGACAATAATGTTTTTGAGCAAGTGATTTAGATTTTTTTTGTGTTATTAGTCCAATGGTCGTGCATTGCATTAAAACCCTCCCTGAATTCATTTATAGTATTTTGATGTCATTAAAATTTAGATAACAGTTTTGGAAAAACAAAACATGGAAATGAAGTATTTTATAATTTTCTTCAATTTAAAACAATTTTTTAAAAAGTTATTTACATCTAATTGCTGTATCAAACATATCAGACAGAGCGGCTGCAAGACTTTCGTAGTTATTAAACGCGAAGATATTGATTTTCCTCCCTATGTAGTTACCCTCTTTGTAAACCTTTACATAGCGAGATTGAGATGATGACGAGTTCATTGATGCGATGCGACCGACGTTGATTCGATCGATTGATATTAACCCAAAGTTATATGTGATTCTACCATTTATATTCTTAATTTATAATTATTACTGATTCCACGTTTCAATTTATATAAATATTTAGGTGTTTGTATTAACTCCAAATAAATATGTATAGTTATGTTTTTATACAACAATTAGTATCATATTATCTAACTGTTGATTACGGATTAATTATGAAAACAACTAAAAGAGAAAGATATCTATCAACTAAAAAAGTAATAGAAAAATTATTAATTACAAAGAGATACTGCATTTTTTACATTATAAATTAAATTTTATATTAATCGTGATCATTTAGTTCTCTTATTAAATATGAAGTGTATAATCTATTTAAGTATAGGATATGATTTGATTAAATGGAAAACAAGACATTAAAGTATATATATGTGTATATAATTGATTTAGAAATATAATATGCTTACTTAAATTCGGACATATATTTTATGGTGATAAACTTTAATTGTAGTTCGATGGAAATATTTTCTGATAAATAGTTTGATAGACATAGTTATCAGCAATAAATTTATACTGTTTCCGTTGACTTAAAAATATAACATATTTGAGTTAAAAAAACAAAAAATATAACATATTTAACATATTCGTTTTTTTTTGTCTCACTGTTGATATATATATATATATATATATCTCAATTATTGGTTTTTTTGTGATCATTTGTATTTTTTATTTAGACTGAAAGATATGTTTCAGAATGATGACAACAATGTTATACCTAACCATATATAGATTTAAATGTTGTTTCAGCTATAACATATATTTATTTTAAAAATCAGCGAGCCTTTATTTACGTTTTTTTTTATCGAAGATAGATTAAAACTACAATTTAGAAATTAGAGTAAAATGAGTAATTTAAACAAAAACTTGCAAATCAACAAAGTTCTTAAATAACTGATTGTCAGGCGAAAATAAGAAGCAAAAAACGTGATATATAGTCCCCAAAACAAGAGAATTGGTTAGAAGGGGTTGATTGTGATGAATTAGGAGTCATTCATTATAGCAACGACTTCGTTCGATCGGTCGTGGAGTCAGAGTCAGAGTCAACTATACTTGTGAATCGTAACATGGATCTTAATATATAAAGATAGTTTTAGAAGAAAACAACAAGATCATAAAACTATTAAAAACAATCGGGATACTTCTCGTTAGAGAATCTACACATCACCGAAAAAAGAAGAGAAAACAGAAAGAAAATTAAAGAGAAAATACGAAGAAGAAAGGCGTAGCCTTCCCTTTGCCTCTGTTGACTTGCCGTTTGTATCCTTTTCCTCTGTTAACCAGAACCAGAGAAAGATAACACGGAACCGAGCTAACTTCCATTAGCCGTAGCTCGAAAGCTTCTTAACGTCGTCGTCTTCTTTTTCGGTGTCTTCCTCCATATCTCTTTCTCTTCCTTAGATTATTTTTAACAAGGAGAGTTAACTGTTAGTGTTTGCTTTAGTCTTCTACGTCTATCTTCACCCCATTTATAATGCTTCATCTGGTCCCATATCCAAACTTTATCTTTAGAATATATTATTCTTAATTATTGTTTAAACAATGTTTTTAACATGATATATGTCTTGCTAAGTTTTATTTTTCAGTCCATGGAATCTTTTTGAAAGTTATACCTAACGTCGGTAAAAATTTAATAAACATTTTAATAACGTGCATCTACTTTTAAAAGAAATCCATTTGCATTATTGCATAATAGATTAAAAAAAACAAAACAAAAGATGTTAAAGCATTCGTCTGCCCGAAAGAGTTAGTTCAAATGGTTTGATTGAATTTTTTTCTTTCTTTTTTACGTAAAACGCTTGATCTTAAAATTTCAAGTTAAATTTGAACCATGGTAAAACAAAGTTGTCGAATAACTTAATTATACTGCAAATTAATGGTCTGAACCATAGTGTCTGAAGCTAGTGGAATAAGATAATATTCAGAAAAAAATTATGACAAGAAGTATCGAGGTGGTTTCTGCAGACGGATGGAATTATTCTTTAATTATTTTTTCGTCGGCATAGTTTTTGCTATATTAATCTTCCACTTGTTAGAATTATACTAATATGTTATACAAATTTCGCACATAAATTATTGTTGTTGTTACTGTTTATCGTTAATACTTTTTCTTGTTTATTAGTAGGGCTAGTTTGCTAAATAAACAAAAAAAATTGAAGTTTACTAGTAAAATGATTAAGTGGTAATCATAAATAAGTGATTTATTATGTAAAAGTAGAATAGTATGCCATTAGATAAAATATATAACACGCTATTTATCTAACATTCACATAAAAATCAAAAAAATTTGAAAAGAAAAAATTCGCATAAACTCATGATTCTTTTTTGCACAAAAAAAAAACTCATGATTTTTTATAAATAGTAAATTCAAAATAAATATACAGTGTTGTACGTTGATGTTGTCACCGCGTCAATTTTGCAAATCAACCTCTAGAATTTGGCTATCTAATGTACCTTTATAACTGTTTTTTTTGTCACATATTACTCATAAACTTATTATGAAACCAATGAATTATAATACTAATAGTAAGTAATCAGGTATAGTGAAAATACATTTGTTAGATATTACTTTTGAAACAACTTATAACAATAGATTTATATATTTTCCAAAAATTTACACAGTCGTTAATTCTAGTAGGTGGATACGTTTGATGGACCATTGCAAAATCAATACGACAATTATATGATTTATAACAGTAGTTTAATTTTCGTTTAGAACTTAATTATAATTATTTTTTTGGTAGGGTAGAACTTATAATTATTAAATTAAAGATGAATTTAGTTATCGGTAACAGCTCATAAAACTCTTTTAACCTGAAAATCTAAAAGACCAAACAACTCAAACAGATTCTAACCGAAACATATATAGAAACGATGAATACCCATAGATTCTAGCTCTTGGTTATAAATATATGAAAATATGAAAACACTAGCAAATAGACGACACATATCATTTTCTTCTCTGATTTCATATCTCCCTTCGTCCAATATTCTTTTTGGACTCTTCGTCCTATATTATATAGTAATGTCGTCATCTCCACTGTCATACGAGGACCACTTACCCCATCAGCTCAACCCACTAATATTGAGTTTATCAGTTTGACAAAAATACTTAAAAACTTTCCACAAAATAGCAAAAAAAAAAAAAAAAAGAAGAAGTGGGAATTAGTTATTTACTCTTTCACTTAATAAAAGTTATAAAACTAGGATAACAAAAAATTGACTCTTTTTTTTCTTCTGAAAGTTTATGAGAACTTTTTCAGACGACGTTTTAGTTAACAGTCTTGGTTAAATAAGAGACTCTTTGATCAAAGCAGTTAAGATCAATGCTTCTTTAGGCCATTTAAAATTTTTTAATGTAAACATCAATTTTAAAAAATTTGTCGTGAGTGAGTAAAAGTCACGATACAAAGAAGAAAATTCATAGTTGAAAAAGAAAATAAAGTAGTGATGAGTGTGAATATAATTATACGAGTAACACATATAATTAATGTGTAGGCCGCCTTTCTTTCTTTATATAGGATAAAGCTCTTTAATTTTCATAATCATAGCATGTAGTTTCTTTCAGTTGTCTCTGATGCCGGATTCGTATAACCGGTTTGAGCCTTTGTCTAAAAAACAGTGATTTTGTAAGATATTTTACATATAATAAAGAGACATTTCAGTGAAAAAAAAAAAAGCTGTTTAAACCGTTTTATATATTACAAAAATAGAAATGGACAAATAATTGCGTCGAATAAGCACTAATTCCATTAAAGTGGGAGCTAGTAAGCACCAAGCACACTAGTTCAACTCATCAATTTATTCTATTTAAATCAGTAGATAAAACTTGTTTTAATTCCTCATTGAGAAAAGGTTTGTCCACTTTAGTTAAGTCTTATCCCAAATAGCCTTACTTTTTACTTTTCTTTTAAATTATGAACAGTATTAAATTCATTATTCAAGACACAAGACACTATGAAAATAAAAAATAACTCCATTAATTTTTATTTAAATAATTCATAAATATATTCGACTTTATACAAAAGTGTCTGAAATTTATAATTACCTAAACAAATATATATTTTCTCATCTTTTTAAAATAGCATGTATTATATGAATTTCAATTGGAATGACGACACAACGATAATATTAACATGAAAAAAATATGATTTTTATTTAGAATTGCCAACAAAAATGATTTTCTTTCTATTTCTGTCTAAAAAACGGAAGAATATATATGTTCTCTCTTTTAGAAATTGATTCCATCGATCGACACAGCAGCAACGTGATTGTCACATGTCGTATTATTAATGTGGTGAGCGGAGGATTATCTAGTAGAACTTACTAGTGAAAGAGGATAATGATTTGGTCTACTATTCCATTAGGACACTCATTCAAATAAAAAATACTCTACTTTGACACAACCAATGAAGAATTATGTTACTGCAGTGAAATCCCAATTAGAAGGAATCTGATTTGACGTGGACCTTCAAGACACTTCCACGAATTAAACTGCATGTTCTTAAATGCTTACACGTGTACTTCTACATTGATCTTCTCAAATCCAGATGTCTCCATCTTCTTTTTATATATTCACAATCCAAAACACTCCCAAGAATAGTAGTAATCCACAACAATCAAAAGTACCAAATCTTCTTTTCTGCTAGATTTTACCTATCATTCGCCAAGAACCAGCTATGGCCGTCCGATCAACAGTAAGTAACCTAATACGTCGTCGCTTCTCTATAATTCAATTGGTCTTCACGGTTTGACTTTTATCATTTTTGTGTTTGAAGGGTCACTTGAAAAACGTAGTGCAGAGGTTAAGAACTTACACGACTACAGCGACCGCACAAGGACCCAAACCGTATTCTACGGCAGCAACTGAGTACGGTGGTCAGAGAACCGCCACCACAACGGCAGCAACAAAAGGTGACTTCACACCAGTTTACGTCTCCATAGGATTGATTTCATTGTCAGTATCATTCGGTGTCTACACTGCTTATCTTCATCTACACGAAAACCCTAGCGTGCGTGTCAACAAGAAGACAAGAGAGACTGTTCCCGAGATTGAAGATCCCGATAGAGTTCTAAACGAAGCGGACCGGTTCGCGAACAGGTCCTGGTTTAGGAAAATAGCTCACATTCAAGAGTTTGACAAGCAGGATGTGATCTCCGATCCAATCAGGAAAGACCAGTTCGCTCATAAACCTCGTGCCGTGACCCTTAAGGATGTTGGCGTTGATCCTAAGATGGCTACGGCTCACTGAGCTTTATAAGAAACTGGTATATGTGTTTTGTTTTCCCTGTTTCTGTCTATAAATAAAAACAACATCTCCTTCAGATCAAGAGTTTTCAGATTGGTCTATTCAAGGTTTTATCCCTGTTTTCTCTTAATGTATCACAAGTGATCAAGCAGCTTGAGTGTATTTTCGTGTTATTAAACAGCATGTAATCTGATGAAATTTCTAATGGTAAATTTCGTTTTGCTTTTATTTTCGTCTGGATTAACGATTTTATAAGATAAATTTGGGGGTCTAGATTTAAATGAGATAAATTTGGTTAGCATCGTAACCTTGTAATAAAGTCGGGAGGATTTTCATTTAAAATTGGGCCCAGGACCAGGCCCAATACTATGGTCCAAGTGGGCGAAAATTTTGCACGCGTCGGTGCTTTGTTTTGGATGACGCGGCGATCTGTGATAGGCTAATGTCACGTGGCGAGCGATATTCATTGGAAGAAAACTATCAAAATGATCCAAAAAATACGAGGACTAAAAGAGTATATATATATATATATATATATACATCTCTCTCTCTGATCCACTTCTGTCTTAATTCGATCGATTTTGAGTCTCTGTTTCTCTCTCTTCTCTCGAGATTGCGATAATGAGAGAACGGATTCTTACATTCGTTTCGCTGCTTCTTGTAGCTTTGCTTTCGTTTTCTAATCTTTGCTACTGTGACGACCAAACGGTAATTGCTCACTTCCTTGATAAAGTTTCTGTTTTTAAGATTTGTTCATAGATTTTTCAGTTACCTGGTCTTTTTCGTTGTTGTTCAGATCCTGTATGAATCGTTCGACGAGCCTTTTCATGGTCGCTGGATTGTTTCAGAGAAATCTGAATACCAAGGTAAAGCTCCGATGTTGTCGTGGTGAATTTTTTTAATTTCCTTTCGTTTGTTGAAGTAAAAACTAGTTAGAATTAGTGTAATGGAAGTTTGAATCAAAAGAGAAACTTTAAAGTTTTGGTTTTTATTGGAACAGATTTAGAAATGTTTACTTTTTACTAGAAGTGGATAAGAAACAGACTTTGTGTGAGTTCTGAGTTCTGGTAGTTTTCTTGTTTAAAGCCCTTAAAAAAGGTTGCTTCTTATTTGAATCCTTTAGGTGTGTGGAAGCACGAGAAGAGTGAAGGACATGATGATTATGGACTTTTAGTGAGTGAGAAGGCTAAAAAGTACGGAATTGTTAAAGAGCTTGATGTTGATGAGCCTCTAAACCTTAAGGAAGGAACTGTGGTTCTGCAATACGAGGCTCGTTTCCAACAAGGGCTTGAGTGTGGTGGTGCTTACTTAAAATACCTTCGTCCTCAAGAAGCTGGATGGGTTCCTCAAGGTTTTGATAATGATTCTCCTTACTCTATTATGTTTGGACCTGATAAGTGTGGTGCTACCAACAAGGTTCATTTCATCTTGAAGCATAAGAATCCCAAGAGTGGCGAGTTTGTTGAGCACCATCTCAAGTTCCCTCCTTCTGTTCCGTTTGACAAGCTTTCTCATGTCTACACTGCAATCTTGAAACCTGATAATGAGGTGAGGATCTTGGTTGATGGTGAGGAGAAGAAGAAGGGTAATTTACTGTCGGCTGAAGACTTTGAGCCTCCGTTGATCCCTTCCAAGACCATCCCTGATCCAGAGGACAAGAAACCAGAAGATTGGGATGAGAGAGCCAAGATTCCTGATCCTAACGCTGTGAAGCCTGATGACTGGGATGAGGATGCACCCATGGAGATTGAAGATGAGGAAGCTGAGAAACCCGTAGGATGGTTGGATGATGAGCCTGAAGAGGTTGAAGACCCCGAGGCAAGCAAGCCAGAAGATTGGGATGATGAGGAAGATGGTGAGTGGGAGGCTCCTAAGGTTTCCAACCCAAAGTGTGAGGTAGCACCCGGATGTGGCGAATGGAAGAGACCGATGAAGAGAAACCCTGCTTACAAGGGCAAATGGAGCTCACCTCTCATAGATAACCCAGCTTACAAAGGAATCTGGAAACCCAGAGACATTCCAAACCCTGATTATTTTGAGCTTGAGAGGCCGAATTTAGAACCCATTGCTGCCATTGGTATTGAGATTTGGACAATGCAAGACGGTATCTTATTTGACAATATCTTGATAGCTAAAGATGAGAAGGTTGCGGAAACTTACAGACAAAGCACTTGGAAGCCCAAGTTTGATGTGGAGAAAGAAAAACAAAAGGCAGAGGATGAAGCTGCTGGTGAGGCAGATGGTCTCAAGAGCTACCAGGTATATTGATTTTCGCCACAAAATGTGAAAAGGTTATACATATCCTTTGTACTTATATTTGTCTGTGCATTGCTGCAGAAGAAGGTGTTCGACCTCTTGTACAAGGTTGCAGACATTTCTTTCCTAAGTGCTTACAAGTCAAAGATCATGGTAAGTTCTCATTTCCAGACTTAAGAAACGTATTGTATGAAGAAGAATCTTCACTGAGAATTTGCTATTTTCGTCTGTAGGAACTCATTGAGAAAGCTGAAACACAGCCAAACTTAACAATCGGTGTGCTCATTTCCGTCGTTGTTGTCTTCCTCTCTCTCTTCTTCAAGCTCATATTTGGTGGTGCAAAGGTAAAAAACATGTCAGTTGGATGTAATGTTTGGTTTGCGGGTGTTTGGTTCTAACAAAATTTGGGCTATATATGTAGGCTAAGGTAGAAAAGAAGAAACCGGAAACAGCAGCAGAGACCTCGACAAGTGAGGCAAAGACAGAGGAAAAGGAAGAAACGGCGCCTGTACCACGAAAGAGGCAGACGAGACGTGAGAGTTAGAGAAGAAGAGGGATAGATTTTTGATTTTTGGGCCTTCTTTGTTTCAGTTTATCAACGTATAGACAGACAGTACTGGAATTGATATCAAGACAAGATTATTGTAACATGTATTTTTTCTTTTTCTTTTTTGTATGGTCACATGAATCTGAATGTGGATCACAACATTTATGAGTTGAAATTTGACAAGTAATGGGGTTGTGCACATCACATGCATATTAGTGTATCATCTTTATCTTGAGTGTTAACAACTGTATCAAACAATGAATATTGGCTTTGATGTTTAGACTTCCAGCAAAGGGTTTGATGGTAATAGTTGACCAAGATTGATAGCACGAGACTCGTATGATATAGCAGAACTTGCTCCAACGACCATATCTGGTAAAACTTGGATTAAACTCACCATCTTAGGCGCCATAACAGAAGATAAAGTAACCGTCTTTTCCGGTGGAGGTCCAGCTCTGCTGAGGCTCAAAGCCATGATCACTAAGCAGTCTCCGGAGGTAACAGCTTCACTCTTCCTTCGAGCCATTGGCTTTCAGTCACTGATGCCATGTTCACTGGCTAAGACCTTAGACCAAAGACATTTCCACAAAAGTCAGATTAAAACATTCAAAAATATCGTTTACTGCATAAAACATAGTACATTGGTAAACTATATGGTCAAAGTTCAATTTGGTCCGATCAGAGAATCGAAACTACGAACGAGATAACGCTACATGCATCGATTAAAAAGGCTACAAAATTCTTCCTCAATGAATCATAAAAATGTACAGTCGTCTCGATCTGCACTATCAAGTTGGATTGAGCTAACCAAACCAATTAGACGAGACTCTAGATAAGCTAAATGTCATGCCTTAGCTATACATACTTGATGCACTTCAAAAAGGACCACTCTTCTTTGATTTCTCCTTCAAAGTACAGAATCTTCAAGTGTAGTTCTTACTTCTTAGAAAGAGAGGCTATGGTATTAGATTGATCAAAGATCTGGATTTACACTTGAAGCCTATGGAGGATTAGAGAGTAAAAGCATCAACCTGCACACACACCAAGATGTGATTCAGAATACAGTACTCAGGATCAAGTAGAGTGAAACCTTTTAACTTCAAGCAAATAGGTATTTCCCTTCATTATATCACTGGCCAGCTTATAAAAGTTCTCAACTACCTCTTAAATCTCTTCTGATTTATTGAAATATCTAAAGTAAAAGGTCGAGAGTCGAGACAGCAAGCAAAGCACTCGTGAAACATGATGAATGTAGTAGCTGATCAACTAACAATGAAATTCATATGGAAAATTAATTTCAATAAGCCTGGCCCAGCTAATAATTTAGAAACCATGCGCCATACTGTGTCTTAATCATATCCAGTATAACCAATATCCCCTAGTGCATCAAATTAGTAGGCAGCTTAATTCTAGCCATCCGTATCTAAAGCTTAAGTTAATAGGTAAATTCCAAGATTCATCAGTGGTTATTGTTAAGTCAATGAATGCTTTCAATTCATGCATCATTACACAGAAAGATGTGTTACGGGAAAAGAATGTACCTGTAAAATGGAGCTAAACACCTCTTAATAGAAGCTGATCAAGCTCAGTTTCCAGCTCCGTCAATTCAACCTGATTTTGATTTCCGCATTGCAGCAACTGCCTCCTTAGATCTCGGTCCAGCTCATTAAGCTTCTGAATCTTCTTTTCTTGAGATAGAATTTTCTGCCACAAATAGTCATTCATATTATCATTAGATATGGCAATCAAATGATTTAATAAAGTAACTAAGAGTGTGGAATTTCAGATAACTATGCTTGATATGCTTTCTCTTTCTGCGAATGCATCACTTGGAGGACTCAAAATTGGGATATGCTCAAAGGGATGGGATGAAGTTGGAAACTAGCCTTTATTGCTTTCCCAAGACTACACTCAACAATAAACAAAGTTGTGACTAGAAAGATGAAAAAGCAATTGGATTTAGAGTGATAAGAGATGGACTGTGTGTGGTTCAACATGTAGAGAAACTAAGAAAGTCACTAAAACGGAATGTGTCACAGAAAAAGGCATTGGACAAGTGAAGTATCAGTTTAAGAAGCCAACTCCTTCCTTAGGTCCGTATACACAACAATTCTACCACCAAAGAGGACATCAAAAATGAATTAAAAAAACAAACCTTTTTTGATTGTAGAAAAGGATTAAACATCACAAACTAACAAGTGTAGAAAAGGATCCAAATCACAGTAACCTTTGAACATTCTAATTACAAGAAGTGTAGGAAAAGATTAAACTTTCACATTCCAAAAACTCAGAATCAAGCCAACAAGATTCCTGAAGATTTCTATTTCCAAATTATAAAAAATCCACATCTAATGGAGGAAGAAGAACAATTTACTGCTCCAAATTAAACATGACAAACGAGCTTAGCTTTACTAGTTTTAGTAAAATTTATGAGCAACAAAGTCAAAACAGACATGGACACATAAAAACACCAAAAAATTCATACCAGAACTATAGATTCGATAAGAGCGAAGACGATTAGCAATAATTAAGACTGATTAGACTCACCAGTCGAAATCTGAAAGCATGAATCTAATTAAGTTGTGAGCTCTTCGTGTTTTTGCCTCAAAATATAAAAAGAGGAGCTAGCAACAAGTATACTATTTCACTTTTTTTAGAGTTTTTCAGCCAATCAGAAGGCTCTATTTCGCAACCACTCGCACCAAGTGCGCGTTGCGCGAGTGAGAGCAATTCTTGAAGGGGTTTACCTTTAGGAATCATGCCTATTTTGATCGACGCACTTCTCTCCAAAATTTCCATCGCGTGACTTTTTTGTTTTTTTGTTTTCTTCTTCTCTTAACCAATGTAAACCGAACCAAACATTAATTGTAATTTTAAAACCATTGTAAACCGAAATCAATTGTAATTTCAAAACTATGTAAACCGAACAGCTCGTCCTCATCGGAATATTTTTTCTCCCTCCGACGGAAGACTAAAGTTTCTAGGGTTTTTGCTTTGTTTTAACTGAAATAACAATCCGAATTTACCAATATATTTCTCTAACGAAATCAACAAATAGTAGCACTGTGAACAGAAAATTTCTAGCAGTTTCCATGATTTGGCTGAGTTTTGAAAGGGGTTTTTGCCACAGTAAGTTCTTGTGAATATGAGTGTCTACAGTTTGGTGGATGAAGTTTACAAGTCTGGTTGGTACAGGCTAGAAAATGTATGAACTCTTGTTTTTTTTTTTTTTTTGCCAGCCAAAACCCATTTCATTAAGTCAGAATCATGAAACTCTCCTCTAAAGAGAGCCTAACATGAACCATACAACTTACATGGGTAAAAATAGATAGAGAATCACGGGAAGTTGTTCGCAAAACTAACTTTAAAACTCGGACGGAACAACAAAAAGCAAAGTAACTAATACAAAGCAAAAGATAAGGGATTCTAACAATCCAAAAGATAGAGAGTGTCCTCTCGGAATGAGACCATCCGGTCCAAAGGATGTTTAACCTATGACAGGCCACCATCTTTTTAATGCAACAACTCCAAAGACTTTTCAGAATTTGAAAGCTCTTGCTACTCCAAACTTGCCCCTGAAGTGTGAAAACTCCTGATCCCTGAAAAGGGAGGTTGCAAGTAGGACGAGCACAAATGCTCGCGATCCAAAAGCCACTACCATCATTCCCTAAAGAATTTTGACACTGGCTTAATTCTTCTATGATTATTCCCAGCTGGAAAACCGAGATTCTAGCTTCACCATCTTCCAAACTAATTAGCAATGCACCATAGTGATCCCGGTCTAGCGGAGTGTAGAACGTGCACACCTCCTCCAGCATCAATTTGGAGCCTCGTTTGCTCTTAGTTTTCAAAAGAAGCCCAAGTTTCATCTGACCACAAGGTTGGCAGAGAGAATTCTTAAAAAAGCATTGGTTTATTCTGGACCAATCCTGGGCACTAGTAATACTAAGGAGGTAATCCCTCAGTTGCCATACTCCAGAGCGGGGAATGCCACAATGGCTCCATACAAAACTAACATAGTCTATGCTTTTTACAATTGAATCTTCAAAGAGAGCTCCAACAGATGAAAATGATGAGGAAAATAACAACACTTTACTCTCAAAGAAGTAAGTTGAGATAAAAAGACCTTTATGCTCTAGGAATTGTACATTGAAGCTACAACGATAACCTTGCAAATTTTGCAGATTTGTTTTACGAGTCTTAGATTTTGATAAAAACATCAAATCTAATAACTTGAAACAATACATCTTAACTAATCGATAAGATGTGAATCTTGCTTTGGCCCCTTCACATGAATGAAGCAATCTCTCCACATGAGAGGAAATGGTCGAATAACGGACAAGACTAAATAATATTCTGGCCCAAGTCCGGGCCCACCAAGAAGCACAGCCATGCGTGGTGTGAGTGAAGAAGTAATTGACAGCTAGGTTAGGGGAACGGAACGTGTCAGGAGGACCTTGCCGGAAAAGAGGCAACGGGAGAAGCTGGCTGAGACGAGACCAACGAAGGGAGGCATATCACTATTCCCATGAAAGTGAATTCGTCGGCGGCTTTCTTCACGAGCAGATCTAGATCTGTTGAAGGAGAAGCTGGTGTGAACCTTAATTGAAGAAGGATCTTGGACTATACAAGTCGAGAAAGAGTCAACAACGACTATCCAAACCATGTTGGGCAACACGAGAGAAGAAGATGAGTAAGGTATGTCCGGCGGATCTGGTGGGTCCGGTGGGTCCAGTGAGTGAAGAGTGCTTTGCGAAGTGTTCATCACCCTATAGTGAGAGAGTACACTAACAAGATCTGGCGGACATACTCGCCGGTGCTGCAGGTGGCTGGCGGAAAAAGAGAGTGGAGCAAGGTAAGATCTCACCGAAAACCATGGTGGAAACAAAGTAGAAAGATCTCGCCGGCGAATGGAAACCGACGGAATATGAGACAAGGTCTTCGGACGAGTGGATCCGAGAGAGTGGAAGAAGAACGCCGTTCAAAAGGAGGTAGAGTCAACAAAATTGTCGCCGGAGAAGACACATGTATGAACTCTTGTTTTGAGAGTGTAAGCTCTTAAACAATGTAGCAGCAGCACATATTCATGTTTTATGCAGACTTGTGTTGCGTTAACACACGGTACTTATGCTTGAATGAATCTGTGAGAACAAGGAGTTCTTTTCTCGGGTGGAGCAATGGTTTCCCACTCTCTATTTTCTTATTCTTAGTAAGTTTTGGCATTATCAGATTATAGAGAATGTTCCAGGAAGAAGAGCCAAGGTTGTTGAAACAGGTTCTTGGTGGTTAAAGTGGATCAGGTCAAGTGGCTACAAGACGAAAGAGGATGTGTCACATGTTCAGACATACTTTCTCAAGCTCTAAGACATGGTTAACATTGAAGAACATGTGAATTGTTCCAAGGAATTGTTCAAAGCAACATTAAAGAATGGTTTTAACTTAGATTGGTGAAGCTAAGGTTATAGAGACATAGTACATCCAAGGGTTATGGTTTCAGGTATTGTTGCTACAAGAAAAGCAACGCATATCCTAAAGATATCTCCTGGTGGAGCTACGTTTGTTGGATGATTGTTCAGCTGAAAGTAAAGAGTTAAAAGGTTGCATAACTTTGTTTCAGAGTGCTAAGAAGAAAGCAAGTTAAGCACATAAGGTTATCAATGGGTGTTCAGCTTAAGCATGGTTACAATCTAATGGTAAAAGGTTTGTTACAGATTTGGTTTGAAGCTGGGTGTTGGTAAGGATTGTCAGAAACATATTGCAGGTTTTCTAGAGAAGAGTTGCAGGTTTCTGGAGTTTTTCCAGAGAATACACAAATTTATGGTCTGAGATGAAGCTATTGAATTAATTTCAGTTGTTTTTTTTTCTAAAGAAGAAACTGAAGGAGACAAAAGCAAGTGATACATGATTTGTCTCAAGGGTGCTTACTTCAAGAATGTGAAGGTGTTGTGTATCTAACTAGATAAACAACTCATCTCAAAGCTAGTGTCAGAAGCTGGAAAAGAGAAGTCCTAGAAAGGATGAAAATGCAGAGAAATCTAGCTGCACTTCGAAGAAACCAACTAATGAGTTCAAAGTTGTTTGTTTGCATAATGAGGAGAATACATAAGTGTCTACTCATGGGAAGTAATTTGCAGGTCAGTCAAGTGAATGATCTAAAAGAAGAAGAGGGCCTTCCCTAAAGACTGCAAATTGAATAATGCAATAGCCAAATTCGTTTTGGTGGAGGATACATACAAGAAAAAGTGATGCAGGTTGTTCTTTACAGCTTGAAAGAGACATCAAGGGTTCTAGAGTTGATGTGTAAGCTGTTATAAGGACGTGTCTCAGGGATATCACAAGGTCTTGCTGATACGAGACATTTAGGATCCACACAATATAGGATCCAAACATCGACTTCCATAGCTTAATTGGTATGGCTGCTATAGGAGACTAAAGACTGCAAATTGAATGATGCAGCCAAAGTCGTTTTGGTGGAGGTTGTATACAAGAAAAAGTAATGCTGGTTGTTCTTTAAAGCTTGAAAGAGATCAAGGGTTCTAGAGTTGATGTGTAAGCTGTTATAAGGACGTGTCTCAGGGATATCACAAGGTTTTGCTGATACGAGATATTTTAGGATCCAAACATCGAGTTCCATTGTTAATCGTTATGGTTACTACAGGAGATCAACTTTGCTCCTGAACTACTCAGTGATTTAGCCAGTAACAAAGGAAGAGGTAAATGACTCTCTGACAGATGAGCATGAGATAACACATTGAAGTACATTGTACCAGGTAGTAACCTAATACGTTTTATTATAATAAGATGAAAAGCATGAAATATCATGATTAGTGAATCTTACATGCATAGTGTGAGTTTTTCCACTGCTTGTCACTCCGTATGCGAAAATGGTCCCTGTGGTTGGATTAACACTCACTACATTAAAATCAAATTGGTAAAAAAAGCTAACTCAAAGTGTTCTAGAGATTAGAAGAAGCACTAGATACATTTTGGCAACTCAAAGATCTCAGTTTCTAAATGAATGCTCATTCAAACTGTTCATGGTACTGTAGCTCGGGGTAAAATTTTAATAACAAAAATATCTCTTTCTTTTCTAAGATTAAAGTCTTAACTAGATCAGCCAATAAAAAGTTTTTGATCCATACCATTGATCCCTGCCATAGCACCATTAACTACATGCTGAGCAGCAACATCATAGACATGGCGTGTTGTCGTGGTATGCCCGAAAACACGATCTGCAAGAAAGGACAGAAATTAAGTAAAAAATGACAGATTGGTCTTTGACATCTAGTTTAATTTACGTCTTGATTCATGATGCTGGAAACTTCACTATATTCAACAGAATAACAGTTATGATGGTTACAGAAACTTATGAACTCTAGTCAAACTGTTAAGACTAACCATAGGCATAAGCTATTGATCCATCTGCATACCATGCAATCTCCTCTCCTTTGGACTACGTCAAGCAGAAACCAATGTCAACAATCCACAGAACAAACATCAAACTAAGTGACATTGACATTTTCTTTGGACTGCAAAGCCTTAGGTGGTACCTTTCATGTATAATGTAAATGAGGCTTGCTTCGAGCAGATGAAGAAGTAGGGGAGCTATGGCTATCCACAGATGTTTCTGGATAAAAGCTTTGAGGAAGAGGTTGTTGAAGGTGCATGGGAGTCAAGAAGTGTAGGAAAGGATTAAACTTTGAAATCCCAAACCAAGAAGAACAATTCCTGAAGATTTCTACTTCCATGGCATCCAATGAAGGAAGAAGAACAATTCACTGCTTCATATAGCTTAGTTTTACTAGTTTTAGTAAATTTTCTCGGCAAAAAAGTGAAAACAGACACATAAAAACACCAAAATTTTCAAACCAGAACTGTAGATTTGATAAGAAAAACGAATATTTGCAATAATTTAAGGTGTATACAGATTTTAACACTCACCAGTCGAAATCTGAAAGCATGAATCTAATCTAATTGTGAGCTCTTCGTGTTTTTGCCTGAAAATGAGAGAATCAGAAGAAAAACATAATAATAACATAAAAGAGGAGCTAGCAACATGTATACTATTTCACTTTTTTTAGAATTTTTTAGCCAATCAGAAGGCTCTATTTCGCAACCACTCGCACAAAGTGCGCGTTGCGCGAGTGAGAGCAATTCCTGAAGGGGTTTACCTTTAGGAATCATGCCTATTTTGATCGACGCACTTCTCTCCAAAATTTCCATCGCGTGACTCTTTTTCTTTTTTTTTGTTTTCTTCTCTTAACCAATATAAACCGAACCGACAATTGTAATTTTAAAACCATTGCAAACCGAATCGAAATCAACTTTTTTATCTAACGGAATCAGCAAATTCTGGACAGAAAAGATGTGGCAGTTTCCATGATTTCTCAACATCCCAACGAGACAAAAGAGGAAACACCACAGCTCAAAATCACAAACTATGAAGTGTAGAAAAAATCCAAAATCACAGTAATCTTTGAACATTACAAGAACTGTAGGAAAGGAAATTCCAAAATCTCAGAATCAAGCCAAGAAGATTTCTACTTCCATGGCATCCAACAGAGGAAGAACAACAATTATCTGCTTCGATTAAACATGACAAACGAGCCTAGCTTTACTAGTTTTATTAAATTCTCTCGGCAACAAAGTCAAAACAGACATGGACAAATAGAAACACCAAAAAATTCAGACCACAACTGTAGATTCGATTAGATTATAACAACAAGGAAGATTTGCAGTAAGTAATTTAAAGTTTATACAGATAAGACTCACCAGTTCGAAATCTGAAAGCATGAATCTTGTTGTGAGCTCTTCTTGTTTGCCTCCCTTTTTATTATCTTTCTTACAATTTTCTTATTTTTCTGTTCTCTGAGTATATTTTCTTATATTTTACTCTGCTGCTTCGAGATCAACGATTTAAAAGTGATGGGGTAAATTAAGAATATTTAGTTTTAAAGGGGCTGAAGTTGTAAATTTGAAGAAGTGAAAGATCAAACAAATAATACAAGACCAGAGACGACGAAACCTGCCGGAGAACTTTGGCTTTTTTTGTTTGTTTACTTTTTTTTTTGTTATACTTTATTAAGTAATGAAAGAGTCTTTACAAACCAATCGTTTAAGCCACAAAGGCTGATCTACAGACCTAGAAAAGAAATCACCATGGAAACAACTGAACTTTGCTAGATTATGAGCGACACTATTACCCGAACGTCTAATGAACATAAACTGAATAGAAGAAAACTTTGAAGACCAGTAGTCAATGTCCTGTATCAGATTTATTAAATCGCTGTGAATCGTCCTTCCATTGACTGCATTGATCAGGATTTCAGAGTCACCTTCAAATTGCAAGTCCTTAAGACCTCGTATCCATACCTGTTGCATTGCCACTAAAAGAGCTTTTGCTTCCGCTTCTAAAGGAGATGATACATGAGTCAATTTTGATGATCCCCAAGCCTTTGGATTCCCGTGATTATCTCTGATGATCCAACCGCCAGTAGCTTTATGCGTTTCAACATCAAAGCCAGCATCAAAATTGCATTTAAACACCGTAGGAGGGGGTCGTACCCATTTATCAGCTACAAAACGATGATTAGGTGGTATGTTGGTTGATGTTTGAGAATTATTTAGACTGTTAATATATTCTTGAATTTCTGCTTCGACTTGTAGGACTATTTTTGAGGGACTTTCCAAGAATTTGTTAAAGACCAATTTATTCCTTGCTTTCCAAATTCTCCAAAGAAGCCAAATTGGGACCAATTTTTGGCTTAAAGTGAGGTTCTTGTTTTGATAAGAATTAATGATATGACTAACATTATCCTCTGTATCATCATCGAAACGATGAGTTTGTAATATCGGTGTATTGGATAATTGCCAAACCATTTTTGCAAAAGGGCATTGGAAGAGTACGTGATTTATTGTTTCCTCCGCTGTGGGACATCTTGGACAATGAGACTCAATGCGCATACCTCTGGTAATCAACCGTGAACAGGTGGGGATAGCTTGCGATACAACTCTCCAAAGCATATGTTTGATTTTTGGAATTATTTGTATTTTCCAGATCTTGTTCTTGAGATCAACTGAACCATGAGGGATAGGTGGTTTACTTTGTGTAGCAATGGGATCATGAGTTAAAAACCAGTATCCCGAACGGACCGTGTAATCTCCATTAGTATTGTAATTCCAAACTAAAGTATCTTTTGATTCATTTTTGGGGAGATAGATATTCTCTAAAAAGTTTTGATCACTTGGATCTATTAATTGAGTAATTTTTTGTTTGTCCCAAAAACGGTTTGATCCTACTTTAGAGATGAAGTTATCAATCGTACCTAACCAGCCAGGATTTGTTGCTAAAAGTGGTCGTGGGGGATGTGAGTTTATGATATTATCAACGCCAATACGGGCTGTTTGTTTACTTTTGTTTTTACTTTTCTAAATATAACGCTCAGGAAAAATTAATATATATAATTAGAGAGTCTCTTTCCATCTAAATTATCCACATCAGCATCCACATTAGCGTCCACCTAAACGTATATTTAATTAAAAATTATAATTTATTTAAACTATTTATTTAATACATACTTATTTATATTTATTATTATTTATGATTAAAAAATTAAGTTTAATTCAAATGAATTAATGTTACAATTATAAAACAATAAAATATGTTATACATAATAATATAATTTGAACTTTAGTGAAAGTTTTTTAAATTAATCATTTTTAAAATTAGAAACATTTCAGTTTTTACACTACTATTAAATATTAATATGTTGGATATTTCTAAAATTGTATGAAAGTTGAAAGGTCATATCTTTTTCAGTTTTAAAAAAAAAGATATAGCGATGAATTTTATGACATATTTAAAATCAATACATTGGGTATTTTTAAAATTGTTGTGAATTCAGACTCATGCGGTAGATAAGGTGATACAACCAACCATTGTTGAAGTAGCTCACAAAATCTTGGTCGAGAACTGTAGTTAAGTAAGGTGATTCTATTTCATCATTTTGTCGATTTGTTGCACAATTTGGACCGTCGATGAGAACCCATTGCGATGAATTCTTGCAATTCTTTCTCTCCAAAATAAGTAGATTGAGATTAAAAAAACAGATCTTAAGAAGTATGTTATGTTGACTTTTTCCATGTGCCTGAAATCAAACTTGCTAAAATACTCTCCCAATCAGGATCAAGACGATGTTGAAGGAGAAAGACCGCGACCTTCGACCAAATTGTAAAAGTGAATGGGCAGGCGAAGAAGAGATGGTTTCTAGATTCATCTCACTCTTTGCAAAGAAATACATGGTTGAGCGAGTCCTCAAATCCGCATATGTGTTCTCATCGATAATGGATCACGAACCGCGAGCCATGTTATGAACTCACATCTTGGAATAGTATGACCAAATCACATATTTCAAACCATATAGAAGAGATGCTTTTAATTGGAGAAGTGCTTTTAACATGCTCCCATGTCTTTAAACTCTAGAAACTATGATGAAAATCATTAGTTTCCCAACGCTAGAGAAACCGATTTGGTCCATTGTATGTAGACGGATTTGGTGTTGATCGGAATTGTTCTATAACCGGGATAAGATGTGGAAGACATGTCCTTCTTAATCTCCAGTCTTTTTTCTCATAACTTCTTTAATCGAGGCTTTAAGTGGAATTCCTATGATTCTTGATCCGGCTTCACATGTAATGTTCATTAGTCTCCCTAAAGGCAAGCAATGATCTAACTATAAAAATGCATGCTCATCACCATTGTTGATATCCATACACGTATGAATGGTTTAATGTCTTCTCAGAATTAAGTAGTTTCCGCCAAACCCAAGAGTTCATTGTTGAATACTTGAATGTGGAGCTGTATAGAAGGAATAGTTTAACGGTCATAGGATTACTAAATTGAACAATGAAATACAAAAAAAAAAACGGTTAATATATGTAGTATATCATAAATAGACATGTTAATATTATAATTATCACTTATAATATTTCTAATATTTTTTATATAATAGTATTTTTACCAATAAATTTTTAAATATTTTTAAAATAATATTATAATAACAAAAATATTTAAAATAATGTAACGTAAATTTACAAAATTATAAAAGTTGAATATATATTGCTAAACCCACGCAACGCGTGGGTCCAATTTTTAGTCTATATATAATGGGAGAGTTGTCTCTCCATCTATGATGTCCACATCATCATCTATGTCATCACATTTCATTACTTTTGTGGGCTCCATATATCTTATTTATTAAAATAAAAATCATTAAAACTAAATTAACTCACACACTTTATATTATTAATTTTGATTAAAAAATAATAATTTACAAAAAATAAATTAAATATGAAAAAACAAAAAAATAAATATATAACACAAAATATGAAACTTTTGAATTGAGATTGTAGAAATATAAAATTAGATAGTTATATTTAACATATAATGAGTAAATATTTTTAAATGGCTAGAGATAGGAAAAAAAAAACTTATCATATATTTTAATGGTACAACAATCACTTTTAAGAGTTACAATTATTAAGTAGAATAAAGAAAATAAGATTTCAAAAAATACCAAATTTAAAAGTTCTTACTATTAAAAAAGTAATTTATTTCTGAAAAATACACATTTAAATTTTGAGAATATATTTGTTAAGGTTAAAGTATCAATTCATGATGCCGATTATAAAAAAAGAAGGATTGAATAAATATTATTATTTATAATTATAATATATTATAAATAACTAAATTAATAAATTTGTCTATATTATTTATGTTTTCTCAATTAAAAAGTGAAGGTTTTTTTGTAAAAAAATGAATACCTAAGAAATAAAAATTAAATATTAATCAGTGTTTAGGAAATTAACATAGATTGGAAAAAATTAAGGTCTGTTCTATAGGCTCGTACCTCTGTTTCCTTGATTTCTAAGGAGACAGGCCCTTAACCCTGGTTGATGAACCATGACCGTGCGATCAGAGCGTGATTAACGACCTTACTTGAAATAAATATTTAAAAAAACTATCCTAAACATCACATATAAAAATAAATAATTTAAATAAAATTGTGTAGTAATAATATTTGAGAATGTTATTTGTAAATTAGAATAGTAATTGTAGATTGAAGAATTTTTTAACTAGAAATAAGAATGATTTTGTTTTAAAATTAGAATAATTTTTATGATTTCGTAATTTACATATTTTAGAAAAATCAACAATAAGAATACTCTATAGAATATTAATATATGACGTCAAATTATATATGTGAAAAAAGAATTTTGTATTTTTCAAACAGTCAATATAAAGTGAAAAATTTGCGTTAAAATCCGATCTTTGTGAATAGGAATGAGTTTACATGAGATATGTTATCTATAAAACAATTTTACATGCACCAAACATGGTCAGAGAAATCTTATGAAAAAACATTTTCGCATATTTTCTGATGTTCACTTTAATAAAATTAGATCATACAACTTATAAAAATGAATTGAGTAGTCAAAGATAGGAAGGAGAAAAGATATACGATCAATCTTGAAAACTGATTCAAAATCGAATATATTATATGTGAGTCAATATAAGTGAAAAAAATTAATATTAATCATGTTTAAGAAATTAACATATATTGAAAAAAATTAACGTGATTTGTAATACAACAAAAAAAAACTATCTTAAACATCACAAATAAAAATAAAATAATCCAATTGAAAAGTAAAACTGTGTAATAATAATATTTGAGAATGCTTTTTGGAAATTGGAATATTTTTTAATTAGAAACTGGAAATGGAAGAGTTTTTAAATAGAAATAACGATGATATTTTTTAAAAAAATTAAAGGTATTTTTAGATTAGAATAATTTTTATGAGTTAGTATGTTACACATTTGAGAAAAATAAACACTAAGAATATTATCTAGAATCATAATATACGCAGAATTTTATATGTGAAAAGAGAATTTTGTATTTTTCAATTGGTCAAGATAAAATGTAAAATTTGACGTCTGAATCCGATGTTTATAAATAGGAATGAGTATATGAGATTTGTTGTCTATAAAGCAATTTTAAATACATTAAAACATGGTTAAAAAACCTTATGAATAAAATCTCCCCGAATAAAACCTTATAAGTTGTTCACTTTAATAAAAAGATCATGCAACTTATTAAAAAGAATTGAGTATTGAAAGATATGAAGGAGAAAATATATATGATCTATCTTAAGAACTAATTCATAGTAGAATATATTATATGCGAATTAATATAAGGTGAATAGAAAGAAGATTTTGAGAGACGACGAGTAAATCATATAAGATAACGAGAGAAATTATAGTAAAAAATGTGAAAAATGTTTTACTACTTTGGAAAGATAATGAACATGAGTAAACTAAAATCTTTTAAAATTCAAATGATTATATTTATGCTCAAAAATTCGCATTGATAAAAGCTTTAAATTAAAATCTCGCGCAACGCGCGGGTACATAATCTAGTAAATGATAAGTTGGACAAGAAAACACACAAAAACTCTAAGCATGGTTCAAACTTCCCCTTATTTCAAGTTCTACATGGAAAATTTCTTTAAAAAGTCTATAACAACCAAAAAAGTATAAATTTAAAATAAGAAGAGAAGAAACAAATCTAAAGTGTTACAAAAAGTTGGACATGTCTTTAAACTCTTTTAGAGAAACAGACCCAAGCTTCTCTCCCTACCTCATGGTCCCTTTGAACCATATCACGACTTATCGGTTTTATAATTTACCGGCGACCACCAGCAGGTTTTCTGGCCGGACCAGTGTCCTCATCATCGGACTCAATGTCACCGTACTGCCAGATTCCAATTCTCGACTTGCGAGCTTCCTCTTGGAACTTCTCTAAAGCATCAAGAGCAGCTTGTTTGTCTTTGTGCCCCCATTTCTTACGTTTCTCCATTCTCGCTATTCCTTCCTGTTCATCATCATCATCATCATCATCATCAATACCAATTCTTGGAAATGTTTTTTAGACAAGGTGAGAGAAAACCAACCTGAAGCATTGCAGCGTTTACAGAGATCTCATCATCGACAGCAATGAGTGTGATAACAAATTCAGTTCCAGTTCCTTGCCCTTTGACTTTGCCTCCAGATGTGTCTCTTTCTTCTATCACTGCTTTGAACTCTTTACCACTACCCAGCGTTACCGTATGCAAATACTCTCCGGCTTCAGCACCAAAGTCTTCTTCCAAGCTTGGAACCTTTATGTAGGCAAGTCTGCAGAGCTGAGCGAGCCCTGGTGCTGTGGATACAGAAGGGTCTATTGGTCTGATTGCGCTGTATGGAACTGTCTCCTGGTTTCCATAATCGATGTAGAAAACTTCGAATTTATCATCTGGGGATTGAACCGCTGCTCGGGGTGCAGTCACAATCTGAACACAAGT